CACCGTCCCGGCTCTGCGTGCCCGCGACCCCCTTGGCGCCCGGACCTCTCCTCGGCTCCCCGACGCTCCCCGCAGCCTCGCTTGCGGCCGGCGCCCCCCGCCAGCTGGGCTTTCCCGTCCCGGGCGCTCCTCCTCCAGCCCCCGGCCCGCAGGTATTTTGGCCTCGGAGCTTAGAAGGCGCAGGAACCGGGCGAGCCGGGCCGACGGGCTGCGCACCTCCCGGCGGCCCCCGGCGCGGAGTCCACTGGCCGGCTCAAAGGTCTGGGAATCTGAGGCATCTGCGAGCCGCCAGCGCAGATCTGGGGCCTGCGGCAGGGACAAGGCTGGGCCTGGGCAAAAGGGGAAGCCAAAGGGCCGGGAAGAGGGCAGACAACCCCGCTCGCCCGGGTGGGCGCCCCTTCCCCAGGCTCCTAAACTCGGGAAGTGTCCGCAGTGTCCCTGACTGATTCCAGTACCACTTGTAGTACGTGGGCCTGCTGAGGGGCGGCCCCAGGGTGGGTGCCGGCTAGGGTGGTGGCCCAGCCTGGCACTGCAGCTTCCTGCCTGGGTTGGCTCCTGACTCCAGAACGAGAGGTTCAGGAAATCCTATAAGGGCCTAGTCCACAGGGACATTCCCATGCGCAGCAGAGGGGCAGTGGATGGGGGGCCTGTGGCCCTGGCTCGCAGGCAGCATCAGTCAGCTCGCCCTGCTGGCCAGCGCTCTGGGGTGGGTGTGCCCAGCTTGGCAGATAAGACTGGCCTTCTTGCTGGAGCTGCTCAGAGAGCAGCAGGCCCCTGGGGGAGGTGGGAAGCCCAGTCTCCCTGGCCTGGACCACATCACCAGGGGGTTGGGCGGGCAGTCAGGAGGCCCCTCGGAAGACCCTGGCCTCACCTCAGCCAGATGCTCTCCCCACAACCAGCCAACTACTTGAAAGCCTGTGACAGTGCCACCGTCTTCTGTGCTGTCACTTTTGTTCCCAGAGCGCTGCCCTCCCCCAGAGCAGAGAGGAAGTACCTTGTGCTGTCGGTTTTGGGGACAGGAAGCAAGCACTAGTGGGACTTAGCCCTGATGGTGGAGGAGGGGACAGGGAGGAAATGCTGACATCTACCACCTGCCAGCCTTGCCGGGTCCGTTGTTCTCAGCAAGCTCCTGTCTAGCACCCCGACAGCCTGCCTCCAGGGAGCCACTCTGCTGAAGACGGAAAGGGGGAACTCAGAGTCCTGACTTCCCAGGGTGGGGGAAGTGAAACTGGGGCATGCGGGAGGGAGTCACTTCCTCTACCCTCCTCCACACCCACTCCAGCCCCTGACTGGCTGCTCCAAGGACCTGTCACCCCCTTCTCTTGCCACCTCACAGCATCCCTTGGGGAGCAAGGGGCAGGCTCCATCTCTCCATGCTTTCTTCATCAGGTATGGCGCTGACGGTGGATGTGGTGGGGCCAGCGCCCTGGGGCTTCCGCATCTCCGGGGGCAGGGATTTCCACACGCCGATCATGGTGACCAAGGTAAGGGCTAGTTCTGGGAGATAGGGAGGTACCTCCAAAGTCAGGGTCTGCCCTGTCCACCGAGGCCTCACAGACACCTTTCTTTCTTTTTGTTCTGAAACGGAGGCCTGCTGCTGTGTTGGTTGGCTGGGGGAGGGCTGGGGGAGGGCTGGGGCCCCGTTACCATGGGGATGTGGTGGCCACTTCAGGAACAGGCTTCTAGGGAGTGAAAGGGAGCTGGGCCAAGTGCAGGGCCTGCTCATTTCTCCTGGGTCACCAACCCCATACCTGCTGGCAGCCATTTTGGGTGGATACTAAAACAGGAGCTCTGAGCTCTTGGCACCTTGCCCTTGACCCAGGCCCAGGCCGGAGTATTCATACAGGGGGCCTGCCCGCAGGCAGCACCTGCATGATTTGATTTGCACGGGCAGGGCTCTCTGTCCAAAAGTGTTTCCAAGCACAGTTCCTGAAATTCTGTCATTTCACATTCTTTGAGCGGCACCGTTGGAATGCCAGTGCTGGGGTCGGGGGCAGGGGGGCCAACACTCCAGCTTTTGGAGGGGATTAACTGATTAGCTGGGTGGACACCAGTGGGCAGGGAGAGAGATGTTGAAGGAGGGTGCAGGCCAGCCTGGTTCAGACCAGCTTCTGTGTTTCTTGGGCAGGACAGGGGAATCTCTTCTCCTCCATCCTTACCAAGTGTCACCTCTGACTGCCTGATTCTCCTGCCCTACAGGTAACCGAGAGGGGCAAGGCTGAGGCTGCTGATCTCCGGCCTGGTGACATTATTGTAGCCATCAATGGGGAGAGTGCAGAGGGCATGCTTCATGCTGAGGCCCAGAGCAAGATCCGCCAGAGCCCCTCACCCCTGAGGCTGCAGCTGGACCGGTAGGCCCTCCACCTCTGCTGGGCCTGCCAGCATTCTTCTGCCCTCTGCCAGCCCACTGCACAGTGGCCACTCACCGCCGGCCCTTGGCCTCAACCTGGCCTTCCCAGCTCTTATGGCTCGTCTGTGAGAAGGTCCTGGGCTCTGGGGTTGCAGCAGGGTGGGCTGTGCCGGGCTGGGCGTGCTGTCACTGGCAGGGCAGGCTGGCATCAGCCACCTGGACGCCCGAGTTTGACTGGTTCCCAAGTGTGTGGGGTACAGGGCGTGGGCATGAAGTGGGCTGAAGAGGAGAAAGGTGTGCCTAAGGCTGGGTCTCCAGAGCTCCTGCCTCCAAGAGGAGAGGGGAGGGCCTTTGTTCAGATCCTGGAGGGGGTGAGGAGTTTGGGGGCTCACTTCCCACAGAGCCCCTCCATCGCTCCCCATTGCCTGTTGGGGCCCTGCTGGTGAAGGCTGATTCCCAAGCTCCTGAGGCTTCAGCCTGGAGGTCTGGATCGGGAGGGGGACAGGTGGCTCCCCGGGGTGGGGCATCCCAGTGAGTCACAGGACTGGAATGCTGGGAGATCCCCCAGCCAGGAGAGCCCTCTGGGCGGGGGCTTGAACCTGAGTTGAGTACCTCCTGCACTTCTGCCCCGCCCCCGCCGCCAGCCTCTGCCAGCCTCCCTCTGGGCCTGGGTTCCAGGCCCTCACCTCAGCCCCACCGCCCCACAGTGCTGCAGAAGCTGGCTCCCGCGACGCTCAGGTGCTCTCGCAGCCCCCGCCCCTTCAGTGACTGCTTCATGCCACTCAGACTCATGAGTGTTTGCAGGAGTGGGACCCAGAGGAGGAGGGTGGAGAATAGCTCATGGCATCTGGGAAGGGGACCAAAACCTACAAGAAGCTGCAGAGTGGGGCGGGGGAGGGGCAGGGAGCTGCTGACACCGTCACTCCCTCTCAGGTCCCTCTTGAAGGGACGCAGTCCCATCAGGGAGATGGGCTTGGCATAGTACCCCCAGGCCTCTGGCTCCACATTGGGCAGGTCAAGGCTCCCCATCTCCTTGCTTTTGCCCAAACTCCTCCTAACCTCCTGGAACTGCACTCCCAGGAGACCTCTCAGGCACTCAGAAGTCCCAGGCAGGAAGCAGGGCTCTGGGTGGGCGGAGCCAAAGCTTAAGCTCCCCTCGCTCTGGCCCCACGCTCTCCCCGGGGAGGCTGTGGCTGGCGTGGTATGTGGTGTCTGAGGTTTCTGCTGACCTCTCTGGAAGTGGCCAGACATCCAGGAATGGTGTAGTGGGTATGGGACATGGTGGGCTCATTCCTCACCCTCAGCCAGCTCCCAGCCCGCCAGTGGCCTCCTGTTTAGGCTCCAGCCAGGTTCTACTGGGAAGGGCTTTGGAGGAGGGTCCCTGGGGGTCAGGGGAGGAAGAACCTTTGTGATGGGGTGGGGGAGCTGGGCCACCTCCTTCTCCAGGTCCTTCAGGAAGGGGACTGTCTCCACCCCTTGTTTTATGGGGGAGAGGTCTTCAGAAGGGGCAGGGAGTGACTCTCTCAAAGGTATTTCCACTGTCAGCAGCGGAGCTGGTGGGGACCGGCCTCTGGCTGGGGACAGGGTCAGCTGGCCCAGCCATTGTCGGTCTTTAGGAATTTGGGCAATTTCTGGGCTTCAGTTTCTCCAGGAGTGAAAGATAAAGGATTATTTATACCTCATCAGCAATCCCCCAGCCAAACTGGCCTATAAACTGATGCTGACCAGTGAAAGAGTCTGGACGAAATGCAAGAAAAGAAAAGAAAAGAAAAGAAAAGAAAGGCGAGGCAGGGGTAGGGGTGATAATGTGAGAAGTTTTTAATAAAACTGAATTTATTGAACTTTTTGCTGAAATTACATCCTTTCTCTTTCTTGGTTCTACACTGTCCTTTTCTTTTTTTTAAGAAATGATGGTGGCTGTTGATGATAGTTGTTTGTTGTGGATTTGGCAAAATTAAAATTTGGCTGCCTGATGTCTGCATGTTTTGGACATTTTCCTAATCTTGAGACCCCAGTGTGGGGACAGCTGGAATCTGCAGCTTGGTGGGGTTCCAGGACCCCGGTGACCCTCGCCTCCCTCTGTCCTCTCCTCAGGTCCCGGGCTGCCTCTCCTGGGCAGACCAATGGGGAAAGCTCCACGGAGGTGCTGGCCACTCGCTTCCAGGTAGGGTGTGCCTCCTGCTGGGAGCGCCACAGGAGTAGTGAGGTAGGGCCTGAGGGGCAAGGACTGGGGGAGGTCCCCTCCCCAGCTCTTCCTTGCCCCTCTCTCCACAGGGCCCCAGGAGGACGCGCATAGACAGCCAGTCCTCCCTGCGGTCACCCTGCTCCAGCCCGGCCTCCCTCAGCCCCCGGCCAGGCAGCCCCTTCTCTACCCTGCCCACCAGCAGCCCACACGCCCTCGCTGGAGAGGCTGTGACCAGCCACAGGTGAGCGCAGGGGGTGGGCAGCCTGGCCATCAAGTTCAGGCCCAGCCTCAAAGCCTCCGTAGCTGGGTTTAGGGGCCCCGGGGGTCACTTGTGTTTCCTTGGGGCAGTCGAGGGGGGCCCTGGCACATATTGTCCTTCTCCCCACTTCAGTTTCCAGAGCCTGACCTACTCCCCGGGACTCGCTGCTGAGGACCACTTGTCCTATGGAGGTCGCCCCGGAAGCCGACAGGTAAGGATGCCTCTAGGAAGGAGAGAGCCTCCGTCGTGGCCGGTTGCTAGTGGTGCCCGTGAGGCTGCAGGAGGCTGCTCCCACCTGGGCAGCCAGCACCTTGGTCTCCTAGCAACAGACACGCTCCTCTCCTGAGCCCGGAGGCCATCAGTCCGTTGGTGGGTCAGCCTCGCAGCACCAGCCCGGCCTGGCCAGTCCCAGGTGGCCTTCTACCTCTCACACCCCCACTCGCCGCCGCCTCCCCCTTGCTGCTGGCTTCCTCCCTTCCCAAGTGTTTCTCTTGGGCCAGGACCGAAATAGTTTTGCTGCTGTTGTTGGGATTATTCCCTTTGGCTCTGGCTGCATCTCTTGAACACATTCCGCCCCATTCCAAGCCCCATGCCCGCCCCTGACTCCCATCCCCCATGCCCCATCTTCCTCTTCTGACTCAGCCCCAGAACCACCAGCGGGCCTGTGGTTCTGCTTCCAGCTGCACTTGGCTTACTCTCTGTCTGCCCCTCCTCCCTCCCTTTTCCCCTGGACTCCCCGCCAGGTCCCACTGTCCACGAGTGACAGCCCTTTGGTGGTGTTTCTCTTCTCTAAGGGCGGGGGTGGGGAGGTGAGGGAGTGAGGCGGCCCACAGCCCTGGGTCACAGCCACTGGGGGCAGAGTTAGTGGGGGCATGTCCAGCCTTTGGGGTGAAAGGGATGTGGCCCAGCTGCTGGAATCCTACCTCGGGTTGAGTCTGCATTCCAGAAAGCAGAGCCTTTGGAGATGTCTGGGGGAGGGTACTGGAAACTGGGGGCTCTGGAGAAGGAAGGAGCAGGGTCCTCTGGGGGCTGCATAATAGGGGCTCCCTGGTGACCTGCTGCAGTGTAGGGGGCCCCCAGTGGCCCTCCAGGCAATGAGGGCATAGAGATGCATGTATTCCATGAGATCCAGTATTTAAAGAATTTAAAATGTAGTTGTAGAGATAAAATAAACATGCAAAACAATTTGGAACAATTAAGCACTGAACAGCAGTATGGTCTTAATTATAAAAGCAGGAGGCGTTCTGGGAGGGGACAGATGAGTGTGGGCTGGGGTGGCCTGGGGAGGCTTCGGCAGGAATTTTGCTGGATGTCAGAGGTAGAGTAGGGTAGGTTTAGATCAGAGAACGCCGAGCGTGAAGATGGGAAAGCCATGGTTCTAGCAAGACCTGGCATGTTTGAGCCTGGGGGCCTTCTCTGGGAGAGCTCTGGGCTGAGATCAGCTGGGAAGAGCTTGGTCCACCCTGGCCTCCTCCTTCCCGGTGTCCAAAACCGGGGCAAAGGGGAGAGGCGAGTGGTACCGGGAGTGGCTCTCAAACCAGCAGCAGAACCTTGGAACTTGTTAGAAATGCATATTTTCAGGCCCCAGCCTAGACTTACTGAATCAGACACAGGGGTATGGGGCTGGGGTGGGGACTCCAATCTGAGTTTTAAGAAGCCCTCAGGGATCCGATGCACACAAAGATTGGAGGACCACCCATATGGTGCAAAGAGGAGTCCTGGGCAGGGTGGCAGGGAGATCTGGGTTAGTCCCACCTCTGCTGTGTCACTTTGGACCGGGCCCTCTTCCACTCTCTGGGCCTCAGGGTCAGACTCGATGCCCTGAATTCCCTTCTTTGACCCTGAGGCCTGTGGTCATTCCTGCAATATTTATGGAGCAGCGTTTTGTGTCAAGCACCCTCCTAGGCTCTGGGGACGCATTGGTGGAAACACAGAGAAATTCCTAACCCAGGGAAGCTTGCATTCTGGTCTACAAACGAGGCTGTGGTCAGATGGTTTCGGAGTCATGGAGTTCCAAGCTCCCTCTTGGGAGTCAGTGCGCACGTGAGCCCCTTAAAGGCTCTATAAAGTCCTGTGAGAAAGAAATGCATTTAATTTTATTAATTTCCTAAACTCGTTTAACTGCAGAATTTCTCCTGGCATTCCCCCTTCCCATGCCACTCCCTTATTAGCATCCTCCAAACACATTTTGAGAGGTGTTGGCTAGAGATGAGTTCTTGATGGGCAGGTGAGCAGCTTTTCTGGACCTGCAGACGAAAGGTCGCTTCCGTGAAGGCAGGTGTCCCTATGTGACTGGGAGGGAGGCAGGAGGGAGTAGAGGAGGGAGGAAGCGGGAAGATGCAGCTGCTCCCAGTAAGGGAGTTACTGGGGCGGGCGAGGTGGTCTGGCAGGAGGAAGGGGGCAGGGTGCCCCTGGCCCAGGCTGCTGCTGGCTTCTGAGCTGGCCAAAGCTACATGGAGCCCAAGGCATGGGACACCACCAGTCCTTACCGTGCCCTTCTGGAAACTGCAAGTTGCCCACTCCAGGCAGGCACACAGCTTGCTGAGCAGATGAGAAGTGAAAACGGCTCCTCTCCCTTTGGCTGGCATGAGGAGGTACTTGCGAAGGGAGCCGGGGTGGATTTCAGCCCTCGTGCAGGGCACATGCTGGTCTAGGACAGTGAGATGGGACATTGTTCTTAAGGACCTGGTGCTGGCTGTCCTTCCTGAGGCAACCATCTCACCATCAGTTGACTGAGTGGCACCAGCCAGGCACCAAGCTGTGGACTCCGGCCCTGCCTCTCACTCCCTGCGTGGCTTGGGCTAGTCGCTTTGCCCTCCTGACCCTTAGTCTCCTTACCTGTAGAAGCCCAAGAGCGGAAGAATGCAGGCTGGTGCAAGAGGGCCAGTGGGGTAAGGGTCTAGGGCTGTTTTCTTAAGACTCTGAAGTCTGTGTTTTAAGCTTAAGAATGTTTTCCTGCCTGACCCTAATTCACCCCCAACTCAAGTTTTAAAGTAGAGGGCATTTGGCTTTTCTGGAAGCTGTGCCCTCAGCCCGGTGCACCGTGGCCGTCCTGGTTGTCTCTGAGGCTCTCCTTCCCCTGCGGATGCCAAGAGAGAGGACGCAGACCAGGGGAGGGTGCAGAGGTGCGGGCCAGAAAACAGAGGGATGGTGAGGCTGAAGGCAAGCTTTCCAGGTGGACAGTGGGTGTAAGAGCCCGAGGTGGATGGTGTGCACCCGACAGGGGGCCCTGCTGCTGGGCTGTGGACCCAGAAACGACCTGGCTCCCCCATGCTCCGTGGGGCAGGATCAGACCTCCCAGGGCGGCCGGGAGAAGCTGGTCAGCCCATACCCTGGCCATTTCTGGGAAGGGACCAGCTCTGACTGCAGGAGGGACCTTGGCCCTTTATGTTCCCTTTCCCTCTCAGCACAAGGGTCGGCTTACTCTGTCTCTGCTTGCTGTGCCCATCAGGCCCCAGTGTTCAACATCTTTGCAAACACATGGCGTGAGACGGCAGAGGAACACGCCTGGTGGCCCTGCACACTGGTCCACATTCTGCCCCTTGCCCAATCCACTTAGGGCAGAACCCTCACCCTTCCAGAGCCCCGGATTGGCCTCCCTTCCTGCTGGGACCGAGCAGGAGCAGTTGCAGGCAGTTGATGGCTCCCTGGCTCTGTGGGCAGGGTGGGGGTGATGGCCCCTCGCAGGGGGCCCGCTGGTCAGCGAGGGCCGGGGGCCCTCTGCTGTTGGGTCTGGGGAACAGCCGGGCTTGGCAGCCCAGAAGGGTGTGCTGGCCAAAGGCCCCACCGCTGACTCCTCCCCTGGTGCCTCTCCTTCGAAGGCCGGCCTCGGCCCCGCTGGCGACTCGGCTGTGCTGGTGCTGCCGCCACCGCCACCGCCTTCTCCAGGTCCCCGTTGTTCCAGCCCCAGGCTCAGGTACCAGTGGTTCTGGCAGGGTCGGGGTGGGATCTTGGTGGGCCTGGAGACAGACAGGCTTCCTGGAGGGGGAGGGGGGCTCCCAGCTCTCTAAGCCCAGATGGCTTTCCTCTGGTCTCCAGAACCCCCCACCCCACCCTGGGACACCTCTTTCTCTGCCTTCGTGCATGTCCTAACCCCCTGGGAACGGGGCTGTCACTCCTGACTGCCTCCTTCCCACCCCCGCAGTGTGGCCTCTGAAGGGGAAAGCCATCTCCTGAGAGAGGACTCAGAAGTCTTCAAGATGCTGCAGGAAAATCGTGAGGCGCGGCTGCCCCCCCGGCAGTCCAGCTCCTTTCGGCTCCTGCAGGAGGCCCTGGAGGCTGAAGAGAGAGGTGAGACCCCGGGGGCTTGGATGGGGAAGAACGTTCCCCCAGGACACCCCAGAACACTGACCTATGTCCCCCGAGGACACACCGGGAACTCTGCCATGTTATTAAATCAGTAGTTAAGTGCTCATCCTGGGAGCAGGTACTGACTTGTAGAAGCCACAGTCCCTGTGCTAAGGGAGCTTACAGTCTGGTAGGGGTGACCAGGGGTGCCCCCAGAGGTACCGCCTCTGATCAGGAAAGTGGCAAGGGAACGATGGTGGGCGGTGGGGCCTGGGTCTCCAAGGAGGGCTTCATGGAGGAAGAAGGGTTTGACTTGGCCCTAGAAGAAAGATCAGGACTTTAACAAACGGCCTGAAGATGGTGGCAGGGAGCAGTGTGGAATGCGGAGGCTGGAGCCAGAGGGCTTTGGGTGTGGGAGCAAGAGAACCGTGGGACCTGGCTGCTTGGAGGGTGGCCTTGGAGGTTAAGTCCCGGCTGTGAGGCCTCCCGTGCCAGGCTGAGGAGTGTCCCAACCCAGGAGGGCTGGTTAAATAGCGCCAGAAGGTGTGTGATGTACCGAAGTGAGCAATAGAGAGATGAACTCCTGCCAGCTGTTAAGCTGTTCACTCGACAGATGTTGGCTGACCCGTCTGATGGACCAGACGTGCGCAATGTGGCGATCGAAGTGGGGCAGGACCCACGTCTGCCCCGAGGAACTCTGTATTGGGGCAGAGTACTGCCGAGCCCCCAAGGAAGTAGACGGCGCTACAGTATGGAGTGTTTGTGTGTGTGTGTGTGTGTGTGTGTGTGTGTGTTGGTGTGGGGTGGGGGCACCGCCCTCGCCCAGGGGAGAGATGAGAAGGCCTGGCCTGGGCAGTGGTTCCCAGGAGAGAGAGGCTGGGACAGTCAGAATTATCTGATTGGCAGCATCACCAGCACCAGGTGGCTGCAACTCTGATGGTTAGCTCCCGGGGGTGCTCACAAAGGTAAGGGAGGCAGGGTGGAAGGTCTGGTGCAAATCTTGTCCATCATGACAAGGCCTCAGCAGGCCCTGGGAGGGGTCAGGGAGGGAAGGAGGGGTGCACAGACGGGTGGTGACTTCACCGCTGGAGTTTCCGCGTCCTTGGCGCTGAGACGGGGACCAAACCTTCATCTTAGCGTCTTTTGAAGGCTCAGGTGCAATAATGCACATAAAAGCCCTTTGAAAACCGTGCAGAGGTCTTGCGGTGCTGTTATTACCTATTATTACCGTCTAGTAACATCACCATGACTGGATCACGGGAGCGGAAATGCCTGCGTGGCCTGACGTGCTGGGCACTGAGCAGACACTGCTTGGGTTGTCTGAGCTCGGGCTGACTCGGCCTCCACGGCGTGTCCTGCACTTGACCGGCCTCAGCCAAGGATCTGGCGCGATCACTTCCTTCCTGCATTACCCACTCTCACACCCGGGGTTACTTTAGAGGTCCGCTTGGAAGTGTGCCTTTGACACCGGGAGTCTGCGGAACTATACTGGGGGAGGTGGAATGGGCTTGAAAAATACAGCCAGGGTGCTGGACGAGCTCTGACATGTCTGTCACCCCCAACCCGCCCCCAGGTGGCACGCCTGCCTTCCTGCCCAGCTCGCTGAGTCCCCAGTCCGCCCTGCCCACCTCCAGGGCCCTGGCCACCCCACCCAAGCTCCACACGTGTGAGAAGTGCAGTGCCAGCATCGCGTGAGTGTTGGTGGCCTGGGAGGCGGTGCCCACCCTGCAGGGTCGGGGGCAGGGCCCAGGATGCGCTCAGGAGGGGCCTGTGTGGACTGACTAGCCAGGAACCTGGGGGCAGCACCGCCACAGTGGATTTGTGATGGGCCACAGGGGTTATCTCAGCCTTCTTACATGCCTGTGCTGGCTTCTTCCTGCTGCATCGCCTCCTCCTGGATTTCTAACCCCCCTCCCCGGAGGAGGTCGAAATGCTATTGCTTCTAATTTCTCTCCAGCAATCTCAGAGCCTCTGGAGATCTGCCTCTGGATGAGGTACCTCCTCCTGGAAAATCTTGCTCTTACCCCGCCCCCCCAACCCCTGCCAAACAGGATTAATTTTCCAGAGGTAGGTCCATTTTCTCAGTGGGTGGCATCATAATACAGCCACGTTCTTTGGAAAATTGAATCCCGCCCATGCCTCCCCCCACCCCCCTGATGAATTTCTTACGTGCAGTGTTGAGGATCAGATGACTCACTTTAGGCAAATCCCTAGCCTCTGTGGGACTCAGTGTTTCATCTGCAGAATGGGACACTGTCCACCGCTGCTGTGCAGACTCAAGGAAGGGGTCCTGGATGGTGGTTTTCAAAGAGCAGAGGGATTGCTAGAGGAATAGCAGGGCTGCACCTCCAGAGTTTCCTCTGCAGGAGGTCCTTGGCCCCAGAATCTGCATTCCCGGTTCGTCCCCAGGTGATGCAATGCTGTGGGTCCTGGCACCTAGGACCACACTTTGCTCCATTCCAGAAGATGCAGGATGGTGCTTGTGTGCCTGTGTGGTGGGGAGGAATGACTTTGTTTTGATTGGGGTTCCAGAGCCGGGGGTGCTTGTTAAAGTGAGATTGCCGGAGGCAGGCTTGGGGAGTTGAGTGAGATTTGGGGATCTTCCCGGGTCCTGACTCTGGGCTGGGAATCAGGGTCCCTGAGAATGGGAGTGGTGGCATCGTGCCTGGTGTTCTCGTCCCTCCCTCCTGTCCGCCCAAGGCTGATGGCTCTCCCCTTTCTGTCCCCGCAGGAACCAGGCTGTGCGCATCCAGGAGGGGCGGTACCGCCATCCCGGCTGCTACACCTGCGCCGACTGTGGGCTGAACCTGAAGATGCGCGGGCACTTTTGGGTGGGGGACGAGCTGTACTGTGAGAAGCATGCCCGGCAGCGCTACTCCACACCCCCGACCCTCAGCTCCCAGGCCTGAGTGCCCGCACTCCACTCTGCGGGCACCTCCACGCCAGGGCCGTGCAGTTGGCATGGGAAGGCGATGGGGGTTGGTGGGTTCCCTTCCTCCTTGCTGGGACAAGGACCTGCCTGTGCTGTGCCTCTGCTTGGATACTCTCACTTCCTTCCCCCTGCTGGACAGGCTCTGCACCAAAGTCTGAAGTGGGCACTGCATTCGGCATCTCTGTGCCATAGGGGTTGAGCAGGTTGTTTCGTAGAGATAAATATCTAGGAGAGGGGTGGGCCAGATGCTCCAGGTATTCACTGTGTAAAGTTTTCAACATAGGAGCACTATAAATATATACTAAGCATGGACAAAATAAAGTAGGTGCCCCTCTTTTCTCTCCTCCCCTGACCCAGCCCCTGGGGATGAGCCTCTTCCCTACCACTGGGTAGAGTCTTTATATAGGTAATTTTTCCCTCTTGATTCCCCCTGCCTCAAACTCCCTGCCCTACCAGATGCTTCACCAGGTGACATCCCCTACCGAAGGGGCTTGCTCCTTTTATTTTCACATTTATTATTTTTTTCTAATGGAGGCACTGGGGATTGAACCCAGGACCTTGTGCATGTTAAGCGCACACTCTACCACTGAGCTCTTCCCAGGCCTTTTTGTAAAGATACCTGTTCTGTTGGGATGATCCCTGGTAGAAGGAGCCTGGAGAGGGACAGGGATGCTACAGGGCCGGCAGTAAACAGGAGGCAGGCTCGGAGCCCCCTTCTGTCCAGGCCCGCCTCGGGGAGACAGTCATGCTCTGCAGGCACCAGCTGGGCTGGCGCAGTGTGCCCCTCGCTCTAACAGGTGTGGATGCTACCAGGACCCCCTGCTGCCTTACCCAGAGGAGCTGGGTGGGCAGGAGAGGAGGCCACATCTGGACAACTTCCTGCACTCACCTGAGGCTGTCTGCACCCATTTGAGAAATATCACCCCCAGAAATAACCTTGGACAGGGTTGCAAGTTAGCCTTGCCTGGGAGGGACAACCCAGCAGTGCACCCTCCCTGAGGACCACCACCCATCATGGGCCTCGCCTCCAAGCTGGGGATGGTCTGCCTGCCCCTTCCCTGGGAGTTCCAGCTGACTTCATTGGTGGCAGTGGCCCCCTGCCAGATTTTTGGCTTGATTCACCCATAATCCCCCAGTCCTAATCCCAGAGGCCATGTCAGAAAGGGGAATGGGTGCTGCTGGGGGCCCCAGACCCACCCTGTCCCCCAGTCAGCCTGAGGGAAAGATCAAAGCTGGGCTTCAGTGGGTGACTTTGTGATGTCTATTTTTGGAAGGAATCTTGGTGGAGACTGTGTGCTGCCTCCTCAGGCACCAGGACATAATTTACACCTTGATGTAATTGTTTCACCTTTTGCCTGAATGGCTGCCTTTCTTTTCATAGGAAAGATCAAGGGTGTCTTGTTCAGGAGCTGTCAGGTCAGAAAGTCTGGTCCCAAGTGGGATGGGCTCCTTGGCGCCACCTAGTGTCAGGCATAGCCCTTGGCGGGGAGAATGCTCACAAAAGGGGATTGATTCACCCCTACTTAAATTCGTGGGTCCTGGCACAGTGGAAGTAGAGAGAGCACTTTTCTTTCTTCCTAAAGATACTAGTCAACTGGCGGTGACTGAGCTGGCATGAGTGAAATAATGCTACATGGTAGCGAGCACAAAGAGCTTGTGTGGAACACACAGGAGCGTCCTCAGAGTTCAGAGCAGGGGCCGTGGGTGTGAGAGGATGAACAAGACATGGACAGATGCAGGAGAGAAATGCAGAGTGAGGGGGTGAGTGCAAGTGGGGTGCTCAGTTTAGGGCAGCAGCTGAAGGGGAAACTGAGATAAGATTGGAGAGGAAGATGGGAGCCTTGAATGCTGGAAGATATGGTTTGAACTTCACCTTGAAGTTCTGGGGACACTTTGAAAATTTTCAGCAGGGAAGTGACAGGTTGAAAAAGGGTGGGTTGGAATATTGATACGGTCAGATCTCCACCTGTAATAACCATGCAGGCCGAGCAGTGCTCTAAGGAATGGAGAACAAATAGGGAGTGGAGACACATGTGAAACAGGCAGGCCAGTGAGTTGTTGAATGCCTTTCCATGGCTGGATGAGTTCAAGGTAAAATCCACCTCTCTAACTCTGGCAGCCAGCTCTCCTCCCTGGGGCCCGAGGGTTTCAACATCAGAGCTCTTTGCAGCCAGCCCCAGCTTGGGGGTGAACTTCTTCTGAAGCTGGAGTTATTAGGCTGAGGATGGAACAAGGAGCCTGACTCCTGGATTTCTGGCTTGCCCTGGGGTGTTTTTGACCCCCCATCCCCAGAGGCAGCCTTCCAGGCCACAAGGGAGGTCCCCACAGCTTCCAGCCATCTGTAGTCTGGCAGGAGCTGCCCCAGGCTCTTGGATTTACCCTTCCTCCCATGGTGCTTAGCTCGGTGCTGAGCTTGCAGGAAACGTGCTTCCTGAAGCTGGGACTTCCCCATGGAGGCTGAGAGCAGTGGGCATCCCTGGATGTGTGTCTCAGGAACTCACAGCAGCCGCTCCCTCTTGGAGTAGGCAGTGAGCGGGACAGCTGTGTGGCCCCTTCCATTCCTTAAAGCATCACTCAAAGGAAGATGGTTCTCCTCCAGTGGGAGGCAGGATGAAGAAGGGACTGCAGAGGGGGTCATGCAGGCCACAGGACCCTTTGGGCAGTGAAGACCTGGCCTAGCTCTGGGCACGGGGCTGCCAGTCAGGGCAGCAGAAGGTAAATGAGAGGGCAGCATGTAGCCCCTAGCAAGGGGGACCCCAGTCACCGGAGGGCTCCGGCATATCTGCACATGGAGGGGGTAGTGGCCCAGAGGGGAGTGTGCGTTGTGTATGTGTGTGGTTTGAGCCCACAATGAGCCTCATGCTGAGACGCCGCATTCCTGCTGGCCGAGCTTCCTGCTCCAGATGCCTTCCTGCCCCAGAGTCACCACGGAGACTGCTTGGAATCTGGCCCCACATTCTCCAAATTCAGGACAAGATCTGGCAAAGTTCTTCCTCCCTTTACCTCCCACCCTCTCACTTTGTAGGGAGGAAGCCACCTGACCGGCCAGCCCTGCTCCCCTCCTCTCCGGAGAGGCCCAGGGTGGGATCTGCAGGGCCTGTCAGATTTGAATAAAGCAATTTCCCCTGGCGGGGCACTCTCGGTTTCCCTCTCTGTACCTGGGAAAGGGGAATGGGGTGGGGGCTGCTGTCCAGGAGAATAGGGTTGCGAGAGGGGCAAACCAGAGGACCCTCGGCTAGGAGGGAAGGGCTTGGCCTGAAAATCAAGGTGTTAAAAGATGGCTGGTAATTCAGGCACTTGGCTCATTCTTCCCCAGTCTTGGCTGTAGGCCTCAGTGTCCCCATCTTACAAAGTTAGAATCTTGCTTCTAAGGCTCCCAACTCCAGCCCCTCCCCCAGAGGCCCAGGTGCAAGTTTGCACGTCCACCAGCTCCCTTATCTCCTCCAGGGAATTTGGGTCCTGCTGGGATTTTTCCAGCTGGTCACCTTAAGAGGCCACCAGCCCATCTCGTTACCAGGCTGCCTCCCTTTCAGCAGCTGCCTGGGCACACAGCCCCCTTTCAGGGTGGGGGGTGGTGTTATCCCAGGGACCAAAAGACGGTGGGGGTGGGGACAGGGAAGCGTTGACCTGTTCACCGCCTCCGGCCAGGCTCACTTCCCCAGATCCTGAAGTCCCCCCACCTCAGCTTTAGGGAACCCGGGTGAGGAAGAGATCTGGGCCGAGGAGGGGACTGAGATCTGGCCCAGGGCACAAGGCTCTCTGAAGTTGTTGGAAAGGATTTCCCGGTGGTGAGAATCGCTTCCCCCTCCGATCGCACCAGGTTTCTGAGAGGCTGAGTGACTTGCTTCAGGGGACACAGCTGGGAGCGCGGCGACGCTGACGTCCAAGTCACCCCTGTTCCCGCCGCCAGCACGTGCGGCTCCACGTCCTTCCGCGCTCCCGTCCGGTCGCTGCCGCCCCCAGCCCTCACCCTCGCCCGGTTTCGTTTCGGCGGCAGGAAGACCGACGGCTGGTGAAC